AGAGACAAGAGTTCCGAACGGTCGGAACCGATACGAACTGACAAGAGTTCCGAACTTATAGGTATAGTTTAGAAGCACAGAAAATAGTTCTTTAATTGATAATTAAATAAATCTAAAATTATGGAAACAAGACTGCCAAATGAAAAACAACACTAATTAAATAAAAATGTAATTGAATAAAAACTAATGCCATATGCAAATTAAAAATATTCACAAAAAAGTACTCTAATAGTAGACAGTGCTTCGGTACCGGTACCTACTGTACAAAATAAGATTATATTTAAAGTTTTTGCAAGAAAATTAATATAAAACGAAAAAAAAACTATTTATTGCAACAAATGTGGGTAAGTATTTGTTTTACAACAATGTAAACAATATAAAAATAAAACAAAAAATCTATATTCTATAACATTCAATACAAAAATATTTTTTTGTTTGTCCTTTTTTTTGCTGCAGTGCATTTAAAATGCAACCATTTGAGACAACCATCACAACATATGGAATCATGTATGTCATCTATTATTTCATTGCTACAAATAGTACAAAAATAGTTTTTAATAGTTTTCCGTATTTTTAGCAATTCTTGAAACTGTTTGAATGCTTTCGCCGTAAAAAACTGTTGAATTTCGTTTATTTGTACTCTGTTTTCAAACAACATGCAATTAATTTTGTCAGGTAACAAATCGGAAATGTAGGTCTCTGTTATAAGTTCGTTATTATACATTATTTGTTTTATTTTATCTTTTTGAAGGAAACATTCCAACATTAATTGCTGTCTTTAGAATAAACGTTTGTTAACAAATAATTGGGGCCTCTTTAATTTTTGAATTCTTTTTATGCCAATAGCATTTTTCACTCTAAGGGGTTTCGTTTTTGCAACACTTTGCAGTGTTTTCGAGTCCCTTATATAAAATGAAACTAAATTTTTATCACTAAACTGCTGAACAACATTCTTTACCGCTTCGAAACTTTCAAAACTGTCGTTTAGTTTTAATTTATTCATGATGAAGTATTGGTTAACCTCTTTTTTTTAAACAACAAACTACGAGCATAATATAACGCATGCATTACTGAACCAAGTCTTTCAAAGCGCATGCGTGTTCGGAAACGGTGTTAATTAAATACACGGTTCCGACCATTCGGATCTCTTGCAGTACTGTACGAGTTCCGACCGTTCGGAACTCTTGCTACTCCCTAAAAATATAGCTTTCAATTAAGGAGTTGATGTTAGATGAATAGAAACTATTATTATTTTTTTATTGTACTCCAATTTAGTAATCGTATTTTTTTATATTTATGACGATGACAACATGCAATGCATGCGGCTGATAAAGCACTTTTCAGTGATGTTATTTATTATACGGGATGGCGATTTCTCTGTAAGTGCTGTAGAGCTACAGACCCTCTAGAACAAGGGGAAACCAATTTATATATAAATATAAAAATATATTGTTATCTACCTATACTATTTTTAATAAAAAAATAATATTATATTCCAAGTTTATTTAAAACTTTTGTTTTGTTTTACTTGTTCTAATCATAATCTGGCAGTTCCTCCTTGGCGTTCAAATGGTTTCCATTAGGTGGCTGGCTTGCATGGCTAAAAGTTGTAAACGCCCTGAATTCAGGTGCTGGAGCAGTTAGTTCGGGTGACGTCGGTCGCGCTCGGAGGTCGCTGATATAGAATTTATATATGCAACATGGCTACGAAGATTTTAGCATTTGCTCTTGGCTTCACCTTAGATCTTACCTAGAGAGTCTGTTTGATAACTTAGCGTGTTCCCGGGGGTGGCATCATCTTCAGGCACACCAGATAAAGTTACTGCTTTGAAACCGGTCGCTAATAGATAACTTTGTGAGAATTAAAGGAACTCTTTTTCTACTCTCTTACTCAAGCCCTTTAACTCAAACATTAATCTATTCATATACTAGTTTATTACATAAATTGAAAATATTACAATTAAACCGTGTTTTAATTAGCCCTATTGAACCGTCCTCGCCAAATTTTGCTGCTTCGACATTAATCTTCGTTAATTTGTATTTTATTTAATATTAATAATAAAATGAAGAAGCCTTATTTAAAATTTTGGCAAAAACTTTGCCAAGGTATTGCGTTTTTATGTTTAAAACATTGTTACGTGAAATTAATTTTAAATTAATTTCAAATTTATTTTTAACAACATCTTCTCCATAACCCCTCGTAACACAACTTAAATGACTACCGCTCACTTCCCTTTTCGATTTTTACAAAGTATACTATAAAACACCGCTGCTGTCACCTAGGTCATTCTTTTTGGTTTATCGAGTTCAACGTGGTAGTTTGTGCCTACTATGAGTAGTTTTCTATAATTATCTTGTCTTTTATGTGTTAATTGTGTGTTAACGTTGGGATAATTATCAGGTAATCTTTCTTTCACCTTATATTTTAACATTTTGCTGGATTTCGTTGGAAAACCAAAAGGATCAGCCACTTGCTTTTTTTATTACCATGCCGGTTATTATTTATGTTTTATTTTAATAATTGAATTAATATAGATTATAGCTATCCTAGCTAATAATATTTTTAAGCTTTCTTTGATACTTTGATATATACGCGGGGAGGCAACTAAATAATTGAATTACAAGTCTGTTTGGAAATTCAGTTCAAACGAAAATCGAATGCTCTTAACTTATTTTGGCCTTATAAATAGTTTATATTCTGTTCAGATGATGTAACTTTAATATTTGTCGTGATATTTTATATTCTGTTTAGACGATGTAACTTTAATATTTGTCCCGTTTATGCATAAGTCCGTTAGATTTCCAAACTGGCATGTATATGTACTTTTACTGTTACTGGGAAACTAATTTATTTGAATTATAGCTGGTTAATTTATAGTTAAATTTGATTTGCAAATATTTGTTTATAGGGTTTTCATTCAAGTAAATTAAGATCTTTTTTTCTAAATCTGTAGTGGCTCCAAGATGCTCCCAGAAGCTCTAAGCTCCAAGAAGTCCCGACTCACGTAGTTGCTCCTAGAAGCTTTAGGCTCCAGGAAACTCCAAGTTCAAGTTAGTTTCTCCAAGAAGCTTAGAGTTACGTAGTTTCTCCAAGTTCCGAGCTCCAAGCTCCAAGTATCTAAGTACCTAAAGGCGGATTATCCACGACATACGAAAGAAGTACCGTACTTGAATTAATTAACATTTTATCTATCAGTCAATTTTATTTATTCACATTTAATCATTAACTATTAATTTATTATATACAATTTTTTTTACTTTTTTTATTAAATGTATTAAATTTTCTTACTTTCTTTTATTTGCCAGAACTCGTACAGATAACTATAAGTACCAGAGACTGACTCAATTAAACAGGATATATCAACTCAGATAAGTTTTCCAAGTTACTCAAAAACTTGGTAGCGCTCAACATTTTTGTCATTATCGTATTATAATATCTTTTATTTTATCGTAAAGTAGACTTTGGCCCGCGAACCGGTCAAGTGACTCTGATTTCATTTGTCCTGATCAATTTATGAATCCACGCAGTATCAGCAATTTGAGCTAAATCACCTCTTAAGTACAATTTACAACGTAGAAATCAAAAAGAAGGTAACACCATTTATATTTTTTTAAATTCATTATTTTCGTTGAACTGGAAAAACAGCCCTATATTTTTGGACACTAATTCAGTGAGAAGATATCTTTTTTATCTTGCTTTGCTAAAAGCGTCTACTTTTTGAAAAAATTCGCGCGTATGTCCACTTACGCACCACTTTAAAACGTTGGAGAAAAAAATGGCCCAGCGAAAATGGTAAAGTGAATTTTGTGAAAACATAACAAAAACTTGAAAATAAACCAAACACCAGTCATAAGAAAATAAGTCACGAGCATGCTTTCTTACGCACTACTTACATTAAAACATTGGAGAGAGAAAATGGCGGAAGGTTTATTATTTCTCGTAGGTGGGTACTTATTGTTGAATGAGCATAACGAAAAGTTAAGAAAATAAGTAAAATTGTTGAGAGGCACGTACCATTTGTAATGCCTATAGCACCTATAGCACAATTTAATAATAAATTTAGCCATAAAAAAATAAGTACCAAATCTGCACGTTGGCTATAGTCATTTATCAACAAAATTCTAATATTATTTTTTTCCTACGACCACTTAGGAAAGTGACACATATCACACTATATAGTCCTATGGAAAGTGCCCTATATCACACGCGTATGAATAAGAATTTACTTTCCACCCGTGTGCGAATATGCTACTTTCCGCATCAGCTGTCACAAAATGTCAAACGTATCATTTCTATTTTGATCTATGTAATGTCCATATTAATACTAAAATCGATATGATTGTTAAATTATTGAAATTGTTGTAAATTGGATCCTAGATATTTATCTTTAACAATTATTATTTAAATAATTTTAAAATAACTAAGTTATGTTTGTTTTTATTCTGGTTAAACACATAAGGAAATTTTTCAAACGAGCGCAGAACTAATATATGAAATATTGGAGCTGTCAGAGTTCATAAAATGGCCTCTTAGATGTTTATGAAAAGTCGATGGTGTGTTTAGTGCATTAAAAAGAATGGAGAATACTGTAAAGGATAGTTTTCCAGCTTTTAAAAAATATTCCTTGCACTCTATAGAACCTATAAATTTAAATAGTTATTAACAATCAAGTATTTTTTGATTAGTATCCTACGAGTATATTGACTAAACTTTAAAGGCTAATAATGGCTTAAAATTTACTCTGTTGTAGTAAAACTGCTTAAAATATATATTCATTACTATTTTTTTTTATACTTGTTTGTACCATCCTCTATTTAATACATTTTTAATAAGAATTTATTCCGTACGTGTCCGGTATACCTTATAATAAAGAATGAGATGAGAATATTTCAAAAGAAAATTAAAACACGTTCAGGTACCTTCAAAAATGGTCTATTTCTATATGGATTTCAAAGACATTGTCAGCGTCAGTTTTAAATTTTTGTATTTCTTTGGAATCATGTACCCAAAATTCGATTCGTGGCCTGTTGTAATTATGTATTGTATAAAAGTATCTTTCTTTATGGGTAAGTTATATTTATAAACATAATATAATGATATTATTTTATTTAAATTAGTATTGTTATTGAAAATTTTCCAATATTTTCTTACTGACGATGGAAACCGAGTTTACTGAAAGCTAGGAGGTTGTCATATAAAAGGGTACATTTTTATGTGTTGTTTTCATCAAATTTTCCATTTTTGTACACATAGTGTGTCCTTTCTTGAAAACATCATATAGATATTTTTCTAATATTGATGTAAGAAAATGTTATTCATAGTGGAATCGCTGCAAAAACAATACAAAACAATATGAATTTGAGTGAAGAGTAAAGTAGAAAAAGCTTTTTGAAGATAAAAATTTACATTTATATTCTAAATTTTCAAAAATAGCTAAATTACTTTGAATTTTCTTAAAAATTAAAAGATAAACAGTAGGTACTAGGCTTATTATATTTCGCTGGTACTAGTGATGCTGCGAGACGAGAAATTCTCGAAAACAGATTGAAAACGAGACGAGAGAGTTTCATCTCAAGCAGAATATCTCGTTTCCTTTGGGCTCTCTACTTTTTGCTAGTTTGAAATTTTCAATTGCATATGGTAACTTAAAATTTAAATAAAGGTTCCTGACCGTAGCAGAATTTTATATAAATAAAAATTTCCTTGGTTTAATCGGTCAAATGTTTTTATTTGCTATTGTTTAGCATACTACATATGTTTCGGAAAATACAATTTTTCCATCTTCAGGTGCAGTCAATTTATAAAAATTATGAGCACGAATACAAACAGTTTAAATTTTTTTTAAAACAATGAAACGCCATCTTTCTATTTCACATCGTGTAAAGGTGTATTCGAAAAAATTAATACCTACACCTTTACACGATGTGAAATAGAAATATGGCGTTTTATTATTTTAAAAATTTAAACTGTTATTTAAAATTTAAACATATCAGTTAACTATAACTTATTAAATGGAAACAAATAATACGTATGTATTTGGGATTTTATCAATAGTGATTTATAGGAAAAATTATTTTTCCTGTCATTTATTTAAAATTAATTTTAAATGGAAGTTTTTTATCGACTTAAAATTAAAATTTCAAACGAAAAAGGTCATATACGTCGGGATTTAAATTTACTCTATCCAGTTAAAATTCCAATTAATGTAATGTATTAGAAATTGTTGAATTTTTATCAAATTGATGCTTGATTATGGATTTCGGAGTATGTAGAACTTTTTAACAAGGTTTTTTATTTTGAAATGTAAGATATACTTCTTAGGACACACAGTTTGTGTCAGATTTTATGTTGTACAACTTGCTAGGTAACCTACAGGAATTTTTTATATCGCGAATTATTCCAGACAACAGACCACAAGAACGTCATTATTATAAGTTTTAAAGCTAAATAAAAAAAATTTGACCAAATGAAATAGCGCAATAGTGTTCCATATTGTAGATGTTTTAAATTAATTAGATATGTTGATAGATTTAGCTGATACAAAAATATCAGTATAGCAGAGCTCTCTTTCTTTGTATATAAAAACTATCCAATGATCAAATGGACAGCAATCGTAATAATTATCCTTCATTCAAATTTTTCTAAGGTTATGTTATGTTGGAAATGGGGTATTAATACACTACGACCTAAAAGATTAATTGTGAAAAGGAAATGTCTCAATGCCTATAAAGACCCTTTCAATCCTATCTTCTCAAGATAGTGTAGGATTTGGAGTGGCTTCAAGTTAGGTAAATCTCCCTCTTCTATTTGATATCATCCTAGGTATAGTGCCCTTGAATTCTGGAGTGCTATACATTCAGTTAGAATGTGAATGGATGTTTCGTCCTCCTCCTTATAGAATCTGCACTCACTATCCTCTACTACTCTCAGTCTACTAATCTGTCCTTTTAGGGTGAGATTACAGAACGTCTGCAACTTTGCAGATCTGCAACTTTGCAAATCTGCAAATATGGCGGACTTACAAATGCAAGTATTCCAAAAAATAGCTGCAAATTCGCAATATTTATTGTGGTTTATTACCCCCAACAACACTAAACCCAAATTTGGAATACGAAAACTTGATACTTGCATGTGTAAGTCAGTCATATTTGCAGATTTTCAAAGTTGCCGCCATATTTGCAGATCTGCAAAGTTGCAGACGTTCTATAATCTCACCCTTAGTCGGAAATGCCCGGTAAGGATCCCTGTTACAATAGGTAGCCTGTTTTTGCTCAGGCAGATGCAGGCTTCCGATCTTTTCTGGTTATATTCACCCAGAAGTATCTTAGCCTGCCTCAGGGGGCTGACCCAAGAGATTGTTTTAATTATCGGTTCTTCTACTGCCCAATTCTTTTTTAATCTCTCCTAATATTATGTTACTGCTGCAGAACGGGTCAGGTCCTACAAAGGGTGTTTGAGTCCCTTTCCTTGCAAGACTATCTGCAATATCGTTACCCTGTACCCCGTTATGTTCCGGGAGCGTATTGCCAAATAATATTACGATTCAGAGACATAATCAAACATTTAACTCTGAGTCGTAATATGTTTTGTCAACCATTATGCAAAAACAACACGAACAAAACATACGCGTATCCAGCGCCGCCACCGTAGTGATTCAAACGGTCTAAGCTCTGATGCGTCATATTATTCGGAGAATAACTTGTGCCCATTTTGTTGTAAATTGCCAAAATATATTCCACCTTTGAGTTTTAGGTTTTAGGTCAGTGTGCGTTTACTTGAAGGTTGTTTCGAGCTGTCGGTAATTTGATGCGTCGCGTGATTTGTTATTTATCAAATCAACTTCGATCCGATTTTTTGTCAGAAAGTTTCAGTAACTGTATATAATGTTAGGAAATTTGAATATTTTTTTAAAGTCGGTTTGCGAGGATTTTCGTATTATTTAACACTAAAGCATCAATGAGGAAGCATTTTGTGCAAAAGTTCAGTGTAAACTACAACCTTGTGAACCTCGACTGGCTGAGTGTCGAATTGAAAGCCTTTGCATTGAAAAAAAAAATCATTGCAACCAATCCAAAGTAATCAAAGTTCAACCAACATCTATGACGAGGAATTTCAAATGGATCCACGAGAATACAGAGTGGCCGACCAGCTAAAACCGCCACAACTTGTCTTAGAGTATTTTTCTGAATAGGCCTAATGCCAAAAAACTTTAACCAAAAATACATAATAAAAGAGCATGTACTTGATTTTATATTATCCAAATTTGAAAATTAGCTAGTAAATAAATCTGAATTATTCAATATATTTGTCCTAATGGTATACACTTATGCTCCCCCTCTCCCTAATTTCATAATAATCACTTGATAGCCTTGTAGGAATAAAAATTGCTCTGAATCGTAATATGTTTTGACATAGCAAGGGTATGTGCAATTCGTGAAAACACAAGCCAAAAAATATTACGCATCAGAGTGCAGTGATCTGAAACGTAATATAATTTGGCAATACGTGTCCCGGGACCCAAGTGAGAGTAATTATATTTTTCTCGCCTAGCTCATTCTATTGTTCTAGAGATTTCAGGCCATTTTTGAGCTGTTTACGTAAGAGCTCAGCGCTTTGATGGCTGCTTGGCTATCGGACATGATGATAGTCTCTTGTCTATGATAGTTTCTCTCGATGTTAAACTGGATACACTTGTTTGGATACACTCCAATTGCAATTCCTTCTATGATTTTGGAACCGCCCTTATACCACTGAATAGCATGTATTTCGGTTACAAGCGCAATAGATTCTTGGCTCCATTTTTTCTTGCAGCTCAGCTCTGTGGTTTTGAAGATTTTCACAAAACTACTTTTTTAGCATTTCATCCCAGGTATCTTTAGTCCTGAAGCAAGTAGACTTTCGTCTGATTACTCCGTTCCTGATCATTCTATATCGTGTCCTTTTTGCCACATTCTCTATCAACAAATGTAGGGGGGTAAATAAAATACATATAGGTAGATGATCATCCACATGTACAATAAAACTTATACGTTGCGACATTAAAAAGTTGTAAGTACTGGGAAAAAATTAACTAAATATTTTTAAGGACAAATTGAAGCAAAGTGATGTGAGAAAATTAGTGCATAAAAAAAATATCATCTACATTCAAGAAAGGCTTTACACTTGGAAGATTACATTTGTTTAAAATAAAGCAGAGTTTGCTTCAAATAATATTTCTCGATACAATAAGAAAATAAATGTTGAATGAAATATAGGCATAATCTTGTATTTTAAGAGTTATAATAATTAATCTGAGAATAAATAAATAAGTATATGTTCTTAAAACCGACTATTGCGTACTTGATTCAATGTTATAAAAGGATTCGATTCAAAGCATTTAAATTTCAGAACAAGAATTAAACAATTCGAATCAAAAACCTATGTACTTCACAAAAGATTAGCTAGTACTAATTCACTGCACGGTGTTGCTAGCCGAAACTTATTTTAAAATGCAACCCCTGCACTGATACGGTAGATGTATGACTGGCGCATGCTGAGATGTGATACCTATTATTCGGCACTGATACGGTAGATGTATGACTGGCACATGCTGAGATGTGATACTTATTATTCGGAAGTCAGAGACACAATGCATTTATAGAGAATCTGTAAAATTGGCATTAGCACGTGTTCATTCTATTGTCCATTTTCTAACATGTTGGCATCGTATCGTTAGGGTCGCGTTTTACTTTTTGTTAGAAATTCTTTGTAATTTAATTAATAAGTGTATGAATAAATTAAATTAAAATGGAACATTTGTTAAATGACTGGGGCCTCAGCGACCTGATACCAATATTTAAATGTAAGTATATTTAGTTCACTTTTTGTTAAATATTATTATATATAAGTAACTTTATAATCATAAGAAGACGAAACAAACTGGGATAGAAGAAAAAAAATGTATGATGCTGGATGACGACTTTTTGAAAAGACGACTTCTGCCTTGCTAAGACAAGAGGTCGTATTTACGAAAAATCTGATTTCAAGATTCTTACAAATTTAATAAGCTTACATTTTATTCTATTAT